ATATATATATATATATATATATATATATATATATATATATGAGCAATCAAAACTTAACTGGGCATTTTTTTTTTTATTCATTGGGTAATAGTTCAGCTGTGTCAATGTTTGAATTTAATACAAACTAGATCTATGCCAACAAGCAACTGTCTGGCTGTCCTATACAAAGTGCTACTTATTCAGCAATTTTCAGAAGTTCAAAAATAAAAAAAAACAATATAAGTTAACAAAGTGATGCCCAACTAATAATGATATTTCAAAAATATATTTCTTTTAAACTTACTGAACTTGTAACTGACCACCTATGACATTATGCTGTGATTGAACTATTTGAGCACTCCCCTGAATGCTAGCACCAGTGCCATCTGAGCCGATTATACCTGCATCAGCTGCACTTTGATCATCTGAATGAATACCATCCAAAAAGATGTCACCCCAAGACTGTAAAAAAAAAAAAAAAAAAAAAAAAAAATTTTTATATTTTTTTAAAATCTGGAGATCTATTTTAGGAGGATTAAAAAATAGGAACCCTTTGAATTTTTTTTATAATAATTACAATTTAACTGATTATGAAATTTTGAAAGCAATGGATGGAATTATACTTATTTCCAACACTAATTTCAAAATGCACATGAAAAAGACTTCCACTGAACTGGCTTTATCCTACATTTACCTGACATGCATCATTTATGCCAGATTTAGAATGCATTGCATGGAACAAAAATTATAGGATAAGAAACCTTCAGATCAATGACACAGCAATGTCACATGAATGATATGGCATTGTGTTTACTATGTGTGTTTTTACACAAGATCAAGGAAATTTACCAAACTAAGAGAGGTTATGTAAGTATAATTAGAGACCAATGCAAATTTGTTAATTTAAAGGGATGTCTCAAATTAAGTGGAGGGAGTTTCACATAAAAAGGAAGGGAGCATATTAAAGACTGCTTTTACTGAGTAATAATTACACATGAGAAAAGTTATGATAAATGATATGATTAACTAACAGTTTTACTATGCTACGGGCTATTCAAAAATGTTAACTGATCTAAATGGATTAGCTTCTCAAATTTTAATTTAATCAACTGTCCAGATTAACTATTGTCAATTATTTAAAGTGACTTTTTATAGTTCTTTGAACTTTGTCCAATATAAACAGCTAACCCAATCATATAAAATATAATTTGCAT